TTGCAAGAAACTTACCACCACATGCTAGCTTCAAAGCTCCAGAAGTCAGGTTGAAATTGGTAGACGAAGAAACTAAACAGTCCGATCTAATCACTATTATGAACTCATCACTAAAGACCATTGATTCTTACCCCGAAGAATGCAAACATGTTTATACTGATGGATCTGCATTTAAAGCCACTATTAAAGCAGGTTACGGAATCTACATAGGTTACCCTGGTGGATCTATTGTAGAGATTTTTGATGCATGGGAATTCTGCACAAATTATGAAGCTGAATAATCGCACTGGAAACAGCAGTATACCACCTGAAGACTGTAATTGATGTTTATCCTTCAAAGGCCCAAAATATTGTCATGTTCACCGTTTCAATGTCTGCCCTTCAAGCTCTAGAGGGCAGTGAACGCTGCAGAACTGACATAGCCAAGATAATTCTAGATGCTGATCAGCTCATTACCTCATACAACATCAGAATAGTAATGCAGTGGATTCCAGGCCACTCCGGCACACTAGGTAATGACAGATCTGACAGACTGGCAAAGAAAGGAGCAACACAAGAACAACCACCTACAGCGACAACCCCACAGACAGCAAAAACACTTATAAAAGCTATAAACAAAGAGACTTGGTTGAACAGATGGGCCATGGGATATACTGGAAGAGAGGTTTATAGACACATGGCTAGCCCTGATCCTAATGATAGCACTAACCATTTAACAAGAAGGGACAAGGCCACTATCTTCAGATTCAGAACACAACATACTCCACTCAATTGACACCAAAACAGAATACAGCCACAACAATCCCCAGAGTGCCAGCTATGTAACTATCCCTACGAAACTGTTGACCATCATCTCTTTGAGTGCCAAAAACTCAACGAGACTGGAAGAATGCTACTCCTTCCGAGACCAGACAGGTGGAACACCTTGTTCGGAAGAAAAGAACAGCTTGTGAAAACATGTAAATTCCACTACATGGCATTGGGCCAAATGGCGAAAGCTCATGCACCACTGGATCAATAACAACAAAAACAACAAATCCCGGTGGCCTCCCACCTCATGATTTTTGTCCCGGTCATCTCGCTCAGTTTTGAGTCATGCGACAAACATGACAGTGAAACCGATAGGAAGAGAATTCACTCTTTCAGAGCTTAATCGCGGGTATCACTGGGTCTCGCTGAGCGGTATTTTCCCTGAAGCGTCAACAGCGCATACTTGGACAGTCGTGTGGTCCACCGTGTGGTCCACAGTGTTGACCTCTTGTTCAGATTGGGTTTCTACCCTTACACACGGTACACCGTCTCTATGGTCTACACTGCCACATGATTGTACAAACAGGGTTATGAGATAATATAAACAGATAATGACAGAGAGAGGGAGAGAGAGAGAGAGAAAGAGCTCGAAAGGATACAGCACTAACTACAGATAGTTAACATGATCCGTTGTGCAGAATAAATGGAACAATAATGCAAATTTATTTCAGAATGCGGGCGTACATTGCAGAAGTCAGCAGACACATTTTATCACAGGTCGAATCCGGGTGAACCAGACTCTTGTGTGTGGCGTTTATCTGCGAACCAAGGGGAGACAATTGCCCTCAGCATTACCCGCCTCAACATAGCGGTGTCTGCAAACTGTGCTGGAGACTATCTGGAAGTTAGAGATGGGCATTATTTCAAGTCGCCACTTTTAGGTTTGCTAAAGCTTTAAATATTTTTATAACTGATTTTTCGGAAATCATATTGTATTTGTATCCATTCCCTACTTTTTATGCGATGGCTCCTACAGCAGCTGTTTGCACATGGTGTTGAAGTTTACCGACAAGTGGCAAAATATCCGATTTCGATAAACCCCTAGATAGTTGCATATCCTATAGTTCTCGTTCTCTTTAAGACGACATTTTTCGTTATTTGAAGACCTACTCTTGCTCTTGCCAGGAGCCACAAGAAAGCCTGGCCATAAATATAGCCGGCCTAAAGGCTGAACGCGGTTTCTGGGACCTCTCCACAGTGATCCTCACCCGCATGGTGGCATATTGTGTCATCGGGTGTTATCGCTTGTGTGATGTCCTTGTGGGGGGGGGGGGGGGGGAGGAGGTCAGTCAGTTAGTTGCCCTTTACTAAATGTGTCATGCGAGACAGTTGATCTGCCCTCCCCGGCCTTTCCTCCCAACAGGGTACTGGAATTCAAAACAGTTAGCCTAATCGTTTCCTACATGATTCAGGTGAGGTATGAATCGTGTACACACCGGAAGGTGACACAGGTAAAAACTGTATCTTATATCATACATTCAAGGTATCATTTCGTACATGACAATGGTCACAGGTGTTAACACTGAGACCAAAACATAATTATTTAGAGACAAAAAGAAACCCGGCACTGCCAATATTGAACACACAAAGGTTGTGGGCTCGAGTACGCAACGGAGCTTGTTTTTGTTAATAATTGACCAGATTTCCCAGTGAATTTCAAATTACCATGAGAACCAGGTACCGTTTTTCCTCAAGTATAAGACGCACTTTTTCTCCAAAAATATAGGGTCTACGGACAATGTTAGTCTTAAGCAGTGATCGTAGATTTATATAATCATTTTTTTTTTTATTTATTGTTTTTCCCTTCATATATATTTATTTCCCAACTTTCCGGTCCCCAAACAAAGGGACATATATACACGAGATCGTCTTAAACCTGAGGAAATACGGTAATTTGTTTTTCATAATTAAGGCCTAGTGGCATAATGCTGACTACATCACCCATCGAGTGGTGATTAGTTAGTTAGTTAGTCTTTCCTCTTGTGTCGAGTGTGGCACATAGGGCAGAGGTCATTACTCTCCATGCATGGCGGTTCGTTGCAGTCCGTTGTAGGTCTTGGATGTTTGAGTGGCCCATGAGCGAGCCTTCCCTGATGATAGTTCTAAGTAGTTGTTCAGCGTGATATCAATGCGTAAAGTATCTGCGGGAACTGCCTTGTTGGTCTGCTATAAAAAGAGATTTTCTAAATCCCAGAGTGGTATGGTAAACCTTTAGACAGCAGCCCGGAGTGGACATACTGATCAGTTAGTACTTCTTTAAATACTTTTGCTGGGTTTAAATCTTAGCCAAGAAGGACCTCTCTACTCAAGTGACCTCTCTTTGCGGCTCGAGTAATAGGACAGGAAAGAGTAGTTTTCTAGGTGAGGGAGAAGTTTTATCAGCGCTAGTAGCAACATACAAGACATAAAGCAGATAATATAGTATCTTCTGAGTATGTCTCTAAGCGTTTTTAGGCTGACAACTCCCGTTCTGTTCTGGCTGATGTAACGACGGGTGGCGCCCGCCTGATTGTTTCTGCCTCGCATCTCTAGTTGGTGAACCCAGGGTTTGCTGTCTATTCAGTAAAACATCGTTTTCTACAAAACTGAAAGCTCCACAACGTTTCGTCTTTCGTACGGAATTGATGATGTCTCTTCTGTCCATAGATGGTGCATTCCTGATAGTCGCACTGTCAGCCAGGGTGTCTGCTCCCTCACTGCCTTTCACGCCAGGATAACTGGGGGAAAATGAAGGTGATTTTGCGAAACGCTGTGTGCTGTATCCTATGGAGCCATTTTTACCGTATATACACCGTCTTGATCTTTTGTATAGCATGCTCCCTGAGTCACAGAGCAAACATGCATTGGTGAACTCCTGTGTTTTCAGCCATTCTAGTTCTTTGTCCTAACCATGACCTCCATTGTATGCTGCTGGTGTAGAAGCAAAGGCTCCAGTATCGTCTTTGATGACTTTTCCTTTAGTTCTTTCCATGAAAGCCCACGATTCTGACGGATCACGGAACCTTCTTCTTTAATACCTTTAAACTATAAACTATCGATAAGCTATGCTTCTTTCTTCTAGTTTACATTACTTCTGTATTTTCGGTGTTGACTCTAATATCATTTGTCAAGAATTCTCCATTCATGGATGTCAGATGTTGCATTTCATGTCTTTATCAACTTTCAAGGCCTATCATAAGTCAAGAGAAATTCATCAATGTTACCAATAAATACTTACTAAACTGTCCAGAAAATTAAAATTAATACATTGCATTTCAGGTCGTTTTTGTGGTCATCAGATACCAGCTACCCTGAAATCGACAGGAAGAAGAATGTGGGTAAACTACGCAACTCGAAATGGTGGTTATAACGGATTTGCTGCTTCTTACAAAGGTGGGAGTATTTCCTATTTCAGCAATGAAGAACATAATATTGTCATCTATTAATTGTATTGCACACTTCGCTATATCTCTTCAGTCTGTGTCTTTTTGTCTTTTCCAGTGGTCTCTGACCTCAGAGGGGAAGGATGGGGCCCGCCCAACTGGGGGCATGAGAAAGTTTCAACAACAACAAAAAAAAGCATCAAAATACGTGCATCTGTACCTTATTTAATACGGATTTTCAGCTGTAACCGTCATGAAAACAAAATAAAGTCGCTATCTTAATGTGAAGAGTGATCTCCGTTGTACTTCGCTCAACATCAGACAAACAATAGAGGTATCATGAAGACAAAACAGAGTCAACCATACTTTTGTTATTTGGAAACTAAATTACCAGTTGCTGGTGATTGTTTCTTTCGTTATTTGACACCTAAATTTATTCAAAACAATGTTTTCCCGTAATGAATTTAAATAATGCGGACACAAACAACACATTGCACAATTTATATCCATACATATTTCGCTGTATCTCGTCAGGAAAGTTACTCCATGGTTACAAAACATAATATGAAGCCCAAAACTCAATCATTCCAACTGAAATGAGAGTAGTTTCTTTCAAAACATCTTGGTGTGTTTTGGCAGTCGGAAGCCCACCGTAGTCACGTGACTTACCAGAGTAACTTCAAATTTATTTTAAATTCCGTTGTTGATTTTAATTGTTGAAGCTTCGGCCATTCCCAACAGTCGCCTGTCCGGAGTGTGATAAACGACAAGGAAAGCACTCACTGTGTCAATTACGTGTCCTGATTTAAAGAGAAGACGTCCCATGGAATAAGTAGGTTCTTTACTCTTACCTGGTCTCGATACCCTTGAAGAATTACTGAGCTGTATATGTAGCCATTTTAGTGTGTGCTCTGCAACTCTATTTCCAAGCTGTCTTTCCGTTCAACCGATGTAAGTCAACTGGCATTTACATGTAAATTAGTAAATGCAATTGGATTTGGTGTACGGAGAAAGAGCTGTTTACTAGGTGGGGTTGGGATAGGAGTGGTCTTGTACCTCACTACTGGAACAACGGCAAAGAAAATGTTTAGCCAACAGCTGTTTTTAGTCGATCCTGCAGAAGCTGCATGACTTTATCACCCTGATAAGCCAGTTAGATGAATACTTGTAGTTTTGATACTGTAATTGTGTTCGGGGTAGGGTTTAGTAGGGTGCAGTGACGTTTACACCCAAATTTATGTCAATGTTTTACTCAAGTTAATAGTGCTTGGATTTTTTTTTTTCACGTGAACTTGGACTTCTAGTAATTCCCCTTGGTCTCTGAGTAGTGAGATCTGAAGCCAATGTGCATTGTTGCGCATGTAAAAATATCCCTTGATAGTTGAAAACGGAAAAGAGTCGCCTAAGGGCGCTGGCCGGACAAAAATTAGGAGCTTAAAATCTACCCAAACTATTTCAGGATCCTCGGCAGTGCTACAGAGCCTGTGCACTGTTCTGAGCTTCATCAGACTCGGACTTGAGTTAGAAGAAGAACTGGGCACCTATGGGTTACTACGCGGGCAACATGATGTTGTTGAAACTTCAAACTTCCTTCTTCAGTCATATACACTTGCTGGACTGACAAAATGGTTTACCACACCTTGCATTTATATTTCCGACGCACATTGCTGTTTATAATTAATTGTATTAGTAATAAACAACAATGATAAAATAATAATTAATCTTTGATAGATGGGTGGATTGATGCATGTGTGAATGTGTTGATGAATATATGATAATATTAAAGGAATAAATAAAAATTGTAGGCCATGTCTAATTAGTTACTCTTCACACTTCACAGCTGCTTGTGGAGGTGAACGTTTTGATTCTGGAACGATCACCACTCCCAACTTTCCTGCTGAATATCTTCCTGGGAAGAAATGCTCTTGGAAGATTACAGCAAGAGAAGGGCTCATCGTGGTCCTCCGATTTACATTCTTTCAGGTTGAACTTTAATTTTAATTTAGTAATGTTTCCATACATTTTGAAATCTGTACACATGTTGATTGCGCTCTACTACCGTTAACGTGAGCATGGGGCAGTGTTAACATTTCTACATCTTCAAATACATGACACAGTGTTTGTCTCTTTTCTTTATCCTCTGAGACATGACACAGTGTTTGTCTCTTTTCTTTATCCTCTGAGACATGACACAGTGTTTGTCTCTTTTTTTTTTTATCTTCTGAGTCATGACACAGTGTTTGTCCCCTTTCTTTATCTTCTGAGTGATGACACAGTGTTTGTCTCTTTTCTTTATCCTCTGAGACATGACACAGTGTTTGTCTCTTTTCTTTATCCTCTGAGACATGACACAGTGTTTGTCTCTTTTTTTTTTTCTTCTGAGTCATGACACATCTTCTGAGTCATGACAGTGTTTTTCTCTTTTCTTTATCTTCTGAGACATGACACAGTGTTTGTCTCTTTTCTTTATCTTCTGAGACATGAGACAGTGTCTGTCTCTTTTCTTTATCTTCTGAGACATGACACAGTGGTAGTCTCTTTTCTTTATCTTCTGAGACGTGACACAGTGTTTGTGTCTTTTCTTTATCTTCTGAGACATAAGACAGTGTTTGCCTCTTTTCTTTATCTTCTGAGTCATGACACAGTTGGAGACTCTTTTCTTTATCTTCTAAGACATGTCACAGTGCTTGTCTTTATTCTTTATCCTCTGAGACATGACACAGTATTTGTCTCTTTTCTTTATCTTCTGAGACATGACACAGTGTTTGTCTCTTTTCTTCATCTTCTGAGACATGACACAGTGTTTGTCTCTTTTCTTTATCTTCTGAGACATGACACAGTGTTTGTCTCTTTTCTTCATCTTCTGAGTCATGACCAAGTGTATGTCTCTTTTCTTTATCTACTGAGTAATGAAACAAACAGTGTGTGTCTCTTTTCTTTATCTTCTGAGTAATGACACAGTGTTTGTCTCTTTTCTTTATCTTCTGAATAATGACACGGTGTTTGCCTCTTTTCTTTATCTTCCGAGTCATGTCACAGTGTTTGTCTCTTTTCTTTATCTTCCGAGTCATGACACAGTGTTTTTCTCTTTTCTTTATCTTTTGAGACATGACACAGTGTTTGTCTCTTTTCTTTATCTTCTGAGACATGACACAGTGTTTGTCTCCTGTCTTTATCTTCTAAGTCATGACACAGTGTTTGCACGATCTGTTTTTCTTCTGAGGCATCAAGCAGTGCTTGTAGCATTGCCATAGCATGTAAATAATGTTATGTTTGTCATATTTCTATATTTTGTGAAGCAAAAAAAAAAACAATGTTAGTCAACTGTGTGAGTTTTGACGTAATATTTATCAGTTTCTATATCTTGTTAGTTATGATGCGATGTAAGTCACATTTCTATATTGAATGAGATAAGAACCAATATTTGTCATATGTCAATATCTTATGTGGTATGACGGAGTATTAGTCGTCATCATCATCAGGTGCCTTGTCAGATGGCGTAGGCGTTCATACATCTCCACAGATCTCGGTCTTTGGTGTTCTGGATCAATTCCACTGATGATATTCCTTCATACCACTGCCTTAAGCCATCCAGCTTTATTTCTCTTGGTCTGCCTCTGCATCTTCTACCTGAGATCTTTCTAGTCGTCACGATATTTTCCAGTGCTCCTTTTCTCATCACACGACAAAAGAAATTTGTTTGTCTATTTCTGATTGTTGTGTATAATGTTCTACTTTCATTAGCAGTTCCAGGCAATCACTGTTAGTTATTCTGGCAGTCCAGGGTATTCGCAACATTCTTCTCAAGAACAAAATCTCAGTTGTCGCTAAAATGTTCTTTATTGCGTGTGAGTGTGTGTGTGTGTGTGTGCGTACGTACGTGTGTGTGTGCGCGTGCGTGTGTGTGTGTGTGTGTGTATGTGTGTGTGGAGATTCTCTGCCTTACAACAGAGAAGACTCTATTTAACATTTCAGTACTGTTTTTTTATGTTTAGTGTATGTGATTTATTACATAATATACATTTCATTTTCTGAAATGCTGCCTTTGCCTGGCTAATTGTGCTCCTAATTTCTGTCACACGTTACCCATCTGATATTATGAATGGCCTCAAATACTTGAATTTTTTTTACTTCGTTTCCCATCTTTTGCTATGTCACATTTTGGAGTTATTTCTTCTTCTTTTTTATACCATTGTTTCTTGTTTTCGTGACATTGAAGGAAAGTACCTTTCTTTGCACTCTCTAGTAACACAATGTCTAATAGTTGTTGTAGGTCTTCAGCGTTTTCAGGTATGAATATTGTATTATCTGCATAACGAAGACTGTTTATATTATAACCTGGTCTACCATTGACCTCTGTCATAATTATTTCACGATAGAGAGAAGAGATCCGATGACAATACACATCCTTGTAAGACTTCTTGCTTTATCTGTTCATAACTACTTAATGTATTTCCTAATTTAATTGCTGCTTCTTGCTTCCAGTAAATATTTTTAATAATTCTGAGATCTTTTCCATCACTGTTAACATCCTGTTTCACTTTATCAAAAGTGTTGGTGTAATCTATGAAGCATATGTATTTCTGTTCCTCTACTGAACACTCTACTAAGGTTTCCAATGTGTATATTGCATTATTTGTACCTTTCCCTTCTACAAAATCATAGTGCTCTTCACTAATTTCCTTTTTAATTTTTTTTTTTTTTAAATTCTTCTCATTATAAGTCTTAGTAACAGTTCGGTGATATGGTTTATGAGGTTGATAGTGCGAAATTCACCGTATTCAATTGCCCTTGGATCTTTTAAATAGTGCTATAAATACAGACTTTAACATTTCAGTAGGTATCTCTCCACTGTTGTAAATGTCATTCAACAGTTTAGTTAACCACATTTTTTTCTGGGGTTTTGATATCATTAATTTTGAGCAGAATTTCTTTTACTGCAGCACACCAAAGCTAAAACCTTTCTGAATAAAAAGTATTGGCTTTATCATGACATTTAATATATAAAATTGAAGGTAAATGAGTTCACAATAAATCTAAACTATTTAAGTGTCAGTATTACAACAAACTATTATTAAAATCGCACAACATTCAAATATCTTAGAAACATATGAAGATTATTCTTCTTGTGCTTCCCTCACTTTTTTACTTGTCCAGCAACACTGCTTTCCCATTCTAAGAATTCACGCGCCTTCTCTGTTAAATTATGTATCAGCTAGTCTGTATTTGAAACAATTAATTTAAATACTTTGGATGTTATAATAATGTTTGTATGACATGTTAGATTTCACAACGACCAAAAATTGGGAAAACAGCTGATCCCACTGAAATATTTTGTTTCCCCCTTTTCGTATCCTAAACTAAATTATCGCAAATAGGTTTGTCACTTAGATATAAAACATAATATCAAGACTACTGTCACAACCTGGCAGAGACTCATCAACGACAGAGCAGTATGAACAGTTCTAGACTATTTCCCTTATCATTTGGCATAGAAAAATCAGGTAAAAATTGTATCACAAAATAAATAATTATTTTTTTAAATCATAAAGTGACGCAAAAGCCACAGAGACACTGCAAACGAAAGTGCATCATGTTGTTAATCCTAATTTGTCAAAAACTTGTTCATAAATGTTTGTTTTCCTCACAAACGTAAAAAAAAATTAGAGAGAATCTATGATACGCCAGCATCCTGGTGGCCGTCGGATAGGGATAACTTCATAAGCCAGTAAAGTGGCGACCCGTCTTTAAAGATTTCATATGTCTACTTCAAATTCTCCAAGTACTTATATTTCCTCTAATGCAATTCTATCTGGTCTGGCTGTTGTTGTTGTTGTTTTTTTTTTTTTTTTCATATGCAGTGTAACTTTCTATAATCTTGTGACCTGTGATGCAGTGTTTTTTACATTTTTTTCAGTTTATATATCAATTGAGAAAGATAGAACTCACGAATATAACTGACTGCCCATATCAGAAGGAGACAAACAACATTCTTTTATCATGAGGTGAAAAGAAAAAAACTGGAGTACACAGTGATGGTGAGAAAGTTGGAAAGGGAAACAGGCACAGGAAAACGATGTTTTACATCGTAGTATGCAAGATCTTCTGTGTCAGAACTGATAGAAAGTACACAAGACAGAAGGTTGTGGGTATTTATGACTACCACCGTCACACGACACGACATGGACTAGAAGAAGAAGAGGAGAAGAAGCAGGCTGTGTTAGTCACATTTATGAATCACATGAGGTGATGAAGGATGTTGCAGAGATAAACTAAACTGTTAAGATCTGTACATTTGTCGAAGACTAAAAATGTACCCCTTAACTAATTTCGCAAAATGTGTGTAAAGTAATAAATGCGTAGATAGTCGTAGTTCCTCATCTCTATCTAACAAACGATTCGCGATTGTTCCTGGTTGGAACGATGCCTTTATAATCGACTCCAGCTCTGACAATCTAAATCCAGTGCTTGTTTAAAATTTGCAACTCGTCGCCGGCAACCCCAAAATGCATTTTACGGCGCCGGTGTAAAAGTAACCTAAATGACCCTATTCCACGCCTCCAGTCGTACTAGGCATATAGGGCTAGACCTGGATTTTATAGTCTAATTGACGCTTGGTGTGTGGTGTGATCGACCTAGCAGTCAGTTGTTTTTGAAAAAGTCAGGATCCGTCGGCGCCGATGTATAATGACAATCAGGCACTCTTCCAAATACCGGTCCCAAATTATTCACTGCCGAAAAACATCCCTCAGGAGGTTATGTAGTAAAACTGTTTAGGCCATCATGATCAGTTTCCACTTGTGCCGTTATTGTTCGCTGGATATCAATGTTTAGACGTTAAGTTAAGCGCCGTGGGGAGGAAACGTTTTCGATCCATTGAAGCGACGTGGAAAAGAATAGATTTAGATCCATTGTTTAAGCGTCTTGGGGAGGAGTAGAGTTCCATCCATTTAAGCGACGTGAATGATTTTTGATCCATTGTTTACATTACCCATTAGTGCCCTTGCGGGGGTCCAGGGCCAAATATTTTAGGGGAAAGAAAAAATAGATCCACTGCCACATAAAAGTTGTAAAAGGCGACTAATTAGGACTGCTGAAATCGGATGCTTTGGGGCAAAGGGCGCAGATATCGCAGCCTAGCTGTAAACTACAACACAACGTGATAACCATTCTTTCAAGGGCGAACGAAAAGAACGAAGTTTACCTACCCGTGACATTATCATTGAGCATCTCACCGCTGCTATCGCAGCCTAGCTGTGAACCACAAGAACAAGCGAAAGGCGCATATTTCGCAGCCTAGCTGTAAACCACAACACAACGTGCCAACGGCCCTGTTAAGGGTTAAAAAAATGACCTCTTCAGGCCCTGAATAGGAGTTTTTAACGGTGAATAATTTGGGACCGGTATTCGGAAGAGTGCCGACAATCATATTAAATTACGAAAGTGTTAGGTCTTTTGATGCAGAAGACATCACAATGCCTATCATTTTTTTTTATTTCTTTATTTCCTACTAGGGTCAATGAGTATTTAGTCTTGGGAAATGCTGCTTGTACTAGTAGATCATTTCATTAGTGTCTTTATTTGTTTCTTTTTCTTCTCTTCCAACTTGTACCTCAGTGAAGTGTCGGGAGGAGATGTAAGTTAATGAGCTCTGTCAAGGTCACTGTTAGGATTGATGTTTATTTTTGTAAGGCTGTTCTAAATGCCATCACTCCAAATTTTCCGAGGTCTTAAACTATACCAAATGTAACGTTTCAGTGTGTCTGGCTGTGGTAGATAGTACCAGGGCATTCTTGTTAGGTTTCCCCACAACTTTTTTTTTTTTTTGTTCTTTAATGACCTGTAGGATTAGATTTATTCCTTGCATCATATGTCTTTCATCGAAACTCCTGCAGCTCTTGTAAGGCATTTCATCTCTGATGTCACATTTGTACGTTCATTAGAAGATGTATGTGACCATGTTTGCCACTGATAGCGTAGTATTGGCCTAAAAAATAGTTCTAATAAGATTCACTTTAGTTCTCCGGGTTATTTGCCTTGCGTGTCAACAGGGGAGATACTCAATGGCTTTTGCACATCTCGAACTAATTTCTCTAGGCAGTTTTCCATTGGGTGTGAAAACTGCTGCCAAATGCTGGAATTTATCTGTTTGTCCTAAATTGCTTTTTAATTTTATTTCCTAATTGGATGTGTGTCTTCCTATCACCATTTTCTCTCTCTCTCTCTCTCTCTCTGTAGTTTTTATTTTCATATTATGTTCCTTCCCCTTGTTTTTAATTTGATTTTGGTGGTCCTGTGGACATTCCGTACTTTATTTGTTTGGAACTTTTAATTTGTCTTTATAAGTTTTTGTTTTTGTTTATTTTCGTTAGTTAGAAAACCACATAAACTGTGCATACGATTACGTAGCAGTCTACGATGGACCAACAGAGGCATGGCCTTTGCTTGGCAAGTACTGTGGATATAGAAAGCTAAAACCAATCAAGTCTAATGGTAACACACTGTACGTGAAATTTGTCAGTGATCAGCTTTACCAGAAGGCTGGTTTCTCCGCTACTTTTGTTCAAGGTAACTTATGTGTGCTGTGTGGTCAGTTCGTGAACAGTTTTTGGGTTATTGTTATAACCGCGTTTTTCTATTTTCGACCATAATTGTTTTATGCTTAGACACTCAGACTACAAATATAGTGTGTGTGTGCGTGCATGCGTTCGGGCGGGTGTGTATATGTGTGTGTATGTGCGCGTGTGCATTGTATCAACTAATCATATTTGTGACTTTTGTTTCGTTTTTTTTTTTTTTTTCATTTGTTTGTTAATGTTGTTAATTTCGCTGATACTTCTGAAGTTCGTCGGTTTATACTTAAAAATTATGGGATATACTAAACTGTTGATAACATCGACATGAAGCTATGTTGTATATAGACATACATAATTATTACCTGTTACTGACGTTAGGCCGGGTCGATCTGAAACCCAGCTATGGTCAGTTCTAAAAAAAAAAATTTTTTTCGGTGTTGATTCGAACCCAAAACATTAGGTCCGGCAAGCAGGCGTCAACGACGGCTTCATAATAGAATAAACTGCCATTAAAATTAGCATAACTGAAAATAAACAAGTGAAATACAAAGATGCTGAATTAAATGCTATCATCCTATATGTTAAGAACTAATAACATAATTGAAATATCTCTTCTGATGTGGCGAACTGTATTGTTGACACTCTTGGATGTAGATGTTACTGTAGCTCATTGTTTTCTTCAAATCCAACTCAACTAATGTTAGAATGCACTCATAGTGAATGTCAGAGCCTCTGTACTATTTCATCTGTGCACAGCGGCTTGTTGGACACCCTATATTTACTTATTCATCCTCCTTCTGATGCAGACAGTTCCTCCCCCCAAAAAAACTATTTTCAATTAATATATCAAACTTCCTTCTGTTCCAGTACTATTTTCTTTTATTTAACAGACCATCTTCTGTTCCATTAAACTACTATTTTATATTATTTTATCAGACTATCTTCTGTTCCAGTAAACTATTTTTTTCTATTAATGTATCAGACTAACTTCAGTACCAGTAAACTACTATTTTCTATTAATGTATCAGGCTATCTTCTGTCCGAGTAAACTACTATTTTCAAAGAGTGTATCAGGTCATCTGTTCCAATAAACTACTATTTTATAATAATGAATCAGGCCATCTTCTGTTCCAGTAAACTACTCTTCTCTATTAATGTATCAGACTATCTTCAGTTCCAGTAAACTACTATTTTATAATTATGTATCAGACCATCTTCAGTTCCAGTAAACTACCCTTTTCTATTAATGTATTAGACCATGTTAAGTTCCAGTAAACTACTGTTTTCTATTATTGTATCAGACTATCTTTTGTTCCAGTAAACTACAATTTTCTAAAATGTATCAGACTATCTTCTGTTCCAGTAACAAAGTTCCTTCTGTACCATGCGGTCAATAATGTATTTAGAAACAATAGTCTTTACAGCCTGTAATTGCCACTTTTCTCTATTGATGTAGGACAGGGGGAGGAAAGGGGTGGCGGGGACGGGGGTCCTTGAGCCTAAGGATTTAGGTCCGCATGACTGTCTTAACCGTTACAATCCCTATCTGCACATGATTGTATGTTTCCCAGGACTTATGTGGCCGTCACTGATGTCCTTATTTTGTCTTCCTTGGAGGTTTAAGTGGATACTTGGGCTTGCACTGGTAGTCTACAATCAGCGCTGAGATTCTTTAATCTCCTAGTGTCAAATCTTCACTTCTTATTGGTCGACTATCAGCACTGATATTTTTTAATCTCATGGTGTCAAACCTTCACTTCCTACTGGTCTGTCATTAGCGCTGATATTGTTTAATCTCACAGTTTCAACCCTTTAGGTTCTAGTGGTCAGCCATCAGCACTGAGATTCTTCATCTCACGGTGTAAAACTTCACGTTTTTAAGAATAATTGAGAACCTGCATATCCGGTTGGTCATTCATCAACATTTAAGTCTTCGGACTCACGGTCTAAAGGAAGTAAACGGTCCTAAAGCACGTGTCCCCGCCATAGGCTGTTAAGGTTAGTATGGTATTTTAGTTCGCCACAGAAAATCCGACACCTTATCTGTAATTAGAATCTTGGCCTCCTGCATAATAACGTGGCATTTTTAACTGTAACACTCGTCGCTCCCAGTCACTGGATACTGTATACAAACTAAAAGTTGTGTTTATGCTTTTTTTTTTTTTTTTTTTGCAGAGCCACCTCAAGATCCCAACACTGGCTGGATCGACAACAAAAAGTTCTTCAAGAACTCTGAATGAAAATCGTGCATTAAGCAATATTTTAAAAATACAAACATACCAACTAAAATATGATACGAGCAGACCTTTATCACTAAATATGTGTTGTATATGTATGTAATCAATGCACGTGGCACAGTGGTGTGTGTTATATTCTTTCTTTCTTTATGTCTCACTGTGATAAGGGGAAAAATACAGAGGTGGGAAAGGCAGGTGAACATTTTAGAGAAAGTGTACATGAGGAATTTTTTTTCACCTGTTATATACAAAGAATGTATAATTTCACAAAAAGATACAAGAAATCCTGGGACCTCTCCATGGGTGATCCTCATCTGCATGGTGGCACTTTGTGTTATGGGGGGTTTATCGCTCTGTGTGATGTCCTAGTGGGGTAAAATTTACTTACTGTTACCCCTAGCGCAATTCAAGGCCAAAAGCAAGGCGAATATGAAGAGGCGGATGGAATGGTTAGACGGGGAGAAATTTACGGTTTGCATGCATGGATATCATGTACATACAATTCCATTGATATATTATTAACCACAACATGCAAGTTTAAAATATGTAACTGACTTTTAAAACAAAAATGAAAGGCCCCATCTGTGGCTTTCACTGTTTCTGGGTGGCACTTTGTGCAGACCTGGTGGGTTTGGACGTCATTCACTCTTCCCCTACGAACAACAGTCTAGAACAAAGTAGATTTGCGTTCTCAGGATGACACGGTCTCTCGCTCCCAACATATGTTTTGTCTCTTTCGAAAGTTATGGAGGAAGGAAGAGGAGAGTGTGAGAGAGATATAAGTATGAGAGAGAAGCGACGTTAGGAAATGTGACTGGCGAAATAAGGTGGCAGCCAGAAATAGAGAGGGAAGGGCCTGAGAGAGAGAGAGAGAGAGAGAGAGAGAGAGAGAGAGAGATAAGTATGAGAGAGAAGCGACGTTAGGAAATGTGACTGGCGAAATAAGGTGGCAGCCAGAAATAGAGAGGGAAGGGCCTGAGAGAGAGAGAGAGAGAGAGAGAGAGAGAGAGAGAGAGAGAGAGAGAGAGAGAGAGAGTTATGTGTATGAGAGTGAGAGAACAAGATAAAAACATTATGTTGTTCATACACCGTATATTGAATTGTTTCCTTTTCTCTGTTCACTGTATGTAGCACCGCTCTGATCTTTGAGTATGTTGATGTCAAACCTAGGTTCATCTTAAGTTTGCTACAGGAGGAGTCAATTAGAAGGGTAAAGACAAGGAGAAAGATGGTGGTGTCAATAGTGGTAAAGATGATTATCTCTTGCTTGCTGCATGCTTCTCGCGTCTTTCTAATATACTGTCTTTATTGTGATAACTCAGTAATGTCACAAACAACATCAATGATATTCTGAATGACCACTGTTTTAGCACTGTGGTTACACACTCTTAAGGTCGCGTTGTGTTCTCCATGTCTAGTTACTTTATAACTTGTCTCTGTAATTCGATGTCTCTTTTCATGTCTCTTCTCTTGTTAATGCTGACATGTAGTCTTTTGCACCTTACACTATTACGAGCGGTGAGAAACTACTTTATATATCCTACTGGCAATACATAGACACACTCAAGTGCCGCAGAGACAATGTGTCATTCCACCTGTCAGATGTACAAGCTTTTAACAGAGGAGTATAATTACATTTTTTTTAAATGTCTATATTCACACACAACAATAGCCGCCCCCTCCCCCCTACCCCCCCCCGCCCTTTTACCACCCCACAACTCCGAATCAGTGCATGTTCCAGACAGGGCCTCACCATCTTTACAATTAAAATAATAAAAGACCAACAGAAAAATTGTATCCACAATAAGAAGAAACTCCACAGGGAGAATGTACAGCAGGGGTCTACCAATCATCAGTAGAAGTAACCTCTCGTCGACAAATGTTTCGGCCCACGAGTTCCTAGACATTTTTAGAGAGTGGACCCACCTGAGTTCATGATTTACCCTGCTGCACGAATTACAAGATGTTATTCTATAATACTAGAACAATTGGTGCAGTGAACTAACTTTTATCAGAGGTAATAAAAAAGCAAATGAATTCTAAAGGCACCACAGAACCTCATGCAGTCCCGTCTATTTGTGAGATTTAAAAATATGCGCCCTCATTTCCTTGAAGATTTGGTTCGGGACAAAGGAAAAGTTACATTAACCACGAAAGAAATCATTGCTGTCTGATGAAGCCGGCCTAGAAAGGAGTACGTGGGAGTGAGAAAGAAGGGACATTAAAAAAAAAGGAAAATTTTCACTGGACAATTCTTTTTGTTCGATTACATAAGGTATATCTTTAGGAGAGAAAGGGAGATTTTTTGACAAATGCCAAAATGATGGAAAGAGGGAGGGAAAGGCTAAAAAAAAAAGGACAATGACTGCTTGGTCATATGCATTGGGCGGGACGAGAGCACTGACCTCATACTGGTGATTGTCACCCTCGCAGCGCACAGGCGATTCCTTGAACATTAGGTTCAATGTGATTGCACCTTTTTCCTGTGATATTTATCCATTTATTTCATCTTTCTAAATTATTAAACTATCTTGCGGTCATTATCATAGTCCAAAAATGCGGCTTTTCGTTGGGTCACCATTTGCTATCGACGGACCGAATTCCTCCACCTCTGTTGGTCACTGCACTTCATGCTACACGTGAGTCCCATCCTTTAGCCAAATGTTGCACCCTGTTTTCTTGCTCAGTTATTTCCTTGTCATTTGTAATACTGTTTCAATTGTTTTGCGTGAAATATGAATACTGAAAACGATTA